CCACCCCGTTCGTTGTAACCTCTGCCCCCAAGACCTCTAGTGTGACATTCCCAGCCCCCACTTTTCATTTGGTCTGACGACGAACAAGTGATACCCGTTCGACCGTTCACGAGTACAACTCGTTTTTCCGAAGATCGTCTTTCTTTTCACAGATAACTATGCTGTAACAGTCGGTTATATTTAAAATTTATTTGACAATTTGGACAGTTTTTTCAAAAATGAATTACACATTCGTAGGCGGTCAAAAAAAAGCATGTTAAAAAGTTGACACTGTGGTGGAAATGAAATGTCTTGGCTCGGAATATAAACAATTGGTATTGTAACTCTACTACACTCTACACACAGAAGTTTTACTCATCCTCAAATTATGAGGTCATTATTAGTTTACGAAAACGTAATTTGTTTTTATCCGCCACTTTGTTTACTGAGACGCATTATGCTTCTTAAATGGGCATAACTACTGGGAAAAGAAAAGTCTTATACCTCTTATGCTATTTTAGAGATGCTATACAAGACTCACCGATTGTGTAATAAATGGTGACTACCATAAATACTTCATGTTTGCAGCTAAAAAAACACACTTTACACAATTTAGTCATACGTATCATATTCAAAACAGCTAAAGGTACCTTTAATTTTAGCAAAGCATTGGCCGAAAACTTGACGTTTTAACCAAGAGGGCTCACAGAAGGATTTATTCGTTCATGCCTTTTAAATGAACCATATCTTAATTATTAAGGTCTTCCGAAACCAATGCTAGATTGTTGTCACTGTTGAAGGTGTTGTTTCTCATCGTGTTCGTCAGCGATCGCAAAATTTGCATTCTTCATCCTGCCTTTTGGTTTATCTGAAATAATTTGGGAATCTGCTGCAGAATAAATAGTATGACAACTGAATAAATCCAATCTACACCGCATTCTATAAGTTTTATTAATGCTTCAAACAATTGGTCAACAGTACTTCAAAGTTTGTTTGCAATATAATGTAAAGAAACACCACCAACTGAATTTACCGGCCAAAATGCAAATTCGATTAAGGGTTTAAGACGAAACTGCAATTCTTGAGATGAAATATTTGTTCATGATGTTTTTCCAATTTTAGCAACTTTTGTTGCAATTGTCTGCCGCCGCTTGTCGATAAAAAAATTAGCGCTTTTAAGTAACTCCATGTATAACCGAAACTACGTTCACGTAAACCAAGTGCCAATGGATGCAAAACGTTTCTTGTGTAATGAGTAGCTGCAGGTTAGAAAGCTCTGCCCCCGGATGTTGTTCGCCTCACCTGCGTGAACTTCTTTATGAGAAGACTGCAAACGAAACAATCTACTCAATTTTTTGCTACATACTAACTGCAAAATAAATGCACTTATTAGCAATAAATGCGAAATTGTAAATGAGTACTCTCTTGCCCTAGACAACGGCTTCTCGCTTTTCATCTCTAATTATGCAAACAGGCTCTTCTTTGAATTTCCCACTTGGATCTCAAACGCGTCCTACTCTTTGTATCTTGATACACCTAAACTAAAATTAATATCTACACATAAATTTCTCGACCACACATAAATAGTCCATTAAGGGAATGCGGTCAACTGCAGAATGCCATTTATTTTCTGACTCGATTTTCATATGCATTCCACTACATTCTCTCAAAAGCATCGCGGACAGAATATGCGTTTCTTCCTGAACCGGGATCCACTCTCACCGTTGGGCAGTTCTGCTACTTTGCCGGTTGGGGACTGCTCCCTAATCCACCCATTGTGCCGATCGCAGATCCTCCGGAAAATCTGATGGAGCTACAGATGCCGATTATATCGAATTCTGAATGCAAAAGAGCATATCCGTTTATGAACGAAATGCAGGACGTCTGCACGTATGGCGCTAATGGGGTGAGTATTAAGCTAGCATTTTCAAACAAAAAAAGATCCGAAACACCTATGGTATTCATTTGTTTTCATTTTTTGCAGATGGCTTGTCACGGTGACAGCGGAGGGGGACTTCACTGTTTAAACGGATCGAAATGGTTTGTTTACGGCGTGAGTACTTACGGCGAAGATCTTTGCTTTGGTGGCTTCAACGGATTTGCTTTAACAGCACCCAAAGTCGATTGGATTAACAACCTCATCTCTTCATATCCCTAATGGAAAAAGATCATATTACACGCCAATTCCGGTATCAGAAGAGCGCTGTGAATATGACTATCTATGTTAGCTGCCGTTAGTTGAAGAAAGAGTGTACAATTTCCCTTAAATAATTTTCTTAGAATAGTTAATTTATAATTCTTGTTCATTTTATACCCAAGACAATGCGTTTTTCCATTTCGGCCATTAAGGAGGGCGCTCTTACTCCCGACCTAGGTGTGTCGAAGCGGCCGTGGTCGTCACCCATAAGCGGGACTACACGGTTGTGTATGTTTTGCGCTCAGGTGAAGTTGGAATTCGATATTAAAATCCTGCTAAGTCTACCTCTCAACGGCACTGGAGCACAGCGTGATCTGAGTTCCGCCATTCTTTTATGTAGAGGGGGGCGGTGTAGGAGAGGGCACCCAGCTGGTAGCATACTGTCGTTCCATTTGGTTTCTCTTAGTGGTGAAGTATCCAGTTTGAGTTCATTGCTGGCACGCGACTCTCACATTCGGCTCCTTGAAGCAATACTACGCCTTGCAGCAACATCCAGCTAACAGTCTCAAACGGTGGGCTAAACTGTGTGAAAGTATCCGGTCTTGTACTTATCCGCACAGCTGACGTACACACTCGCCAGTCATATATCTGCCCGCCCCCCGGCAATCTCCCCTATTATCCTCCCCGAATCTTTCACCTTCTCTCCCTCCCGTGTCCGACACCCTGATCCGCGTTCAACTTATCTTCCCTCTACTACCTCTACCTTCATCCGATCCTACACTACGCAACCCAAAAATGGTAAATTGCTCCGTCCAGCCTTCATAAGTGTTCTGAGTTTCGCGATGACCATCGCCGATACTGTCATTTATAGGCTACCCCAAATAAATGCAAACAATGTCCTTCGTTTTCCGCCTTTTAAACCGGATATCACCAGAGTGGAAGACGGAATTTCGCACCAGAAAACGCAGGCATCAAAAACAGTCCTGGTATAACTTTGTAGGTAGAATTTAAAGACCGCTGCAATTTGCCATTTATTCAAGATTAAATGTGACTATGTGACGATCATCCAGACATATCGGTATTCACTTTCACCGGAAAAAAAATTCCTTCGAACTCCTTCACTTTGTGCTGAACATAAAAAGACGCAAAAGCATGCTTGGCTGTTATACTCAAAGGAAAAAGCTCAAGATCCGCACATGACTTTGTTTTTTTGTCGTGCCGTTGGATCGCAGCCTTGGAGTGTCTGTGGATGATGGTTATTACGATTTCTAAATATCCAAGTTCAGAAAGGAGAAACGAAAGGGTTCCTTTCACCTTTCCATAATCTCGAGGTGAAATTACCTTAGGCTACTCTTTCGACCTTGTTCAAAGTCATGCAGTGTTCAAAAAAAAAACAAAAAAACGCCGAACCAATGACGTTTGTAACGTCATATGGATTTATTTTAACTAAACACCAACCTTTAGATTCAGGAGTAGTTTCCACGTAGTTACTTTTGTTGAATCCGTAACTATTTCCTCCCGCGTATATTTCCGATGAATAGCTCTTTCAGGTTTTGGTCAACTGTACTTCCAATACAACGCAACTGCACCTCGATTGACCCACAGGTAGACTGATTTATATTATCTCACGTAAGTCCACAACTATGTTGGCTAACTCACTTGGTGCCCAACCTCCCATCCTCTTAGTCGCAATTAGTCATGCAATCCGACAGGAAATGCTCAGGACGTTAACGAAATTAGATCTCTGTATCTTCTAAGAGACGA